TTCGATCAATCTTCTGACATTTATCGATTGATAATGATCAGTGAATGACACCATATAAGTTATATGGTTATATGATATAACCATCATGATTAAAACGGATAGTCAATATTCAAAGTATGATTAAAAAACACACGATACGTCATACGACGTTTCAATGATACCTACTGCCTTTTTAGTATTATATAGCATGACGAATTGCAATTTGAATTGCAATGACAATTTTTCTATTTTAATAAGGATAARTGCGTATGCTGAAATGTGATAACTGCAGATATTATAAAGGTAAAAGAATATTAGAGTAACCACGAGAACGGCCACGTAAAATGTAGGTACATATCTTATATTAGAGTTGTAGCCCTTTCACACGAGGCCAATATAAAACTACAAATTTTAGATTTAAAGTTTAAAATTTTAGACTTTTTTCTAGTCATATTTGACATACTATCTAAATTAAAAAATATTAAGAATATACATATAATATTTTTTTTATAAGCGTTTAAAGTTAAAATAACTTTCAAAATGATGAAAATGAGCAAAATATTTTTAGTTGACAATTCATAAAAATTTTATTTTTCACTATTAGTGCTTGAAAATTGAATAGAATGCTTATTATATATAAGTTGTACAAGTCTTGTACTTGAGGACGACATACTCACACATGTGTTGTTTMTGTCTTACAAGTGTGTAACACATACAATTTAAGCACAGGATATCATGTTTATCTCCATTAGTTTAAAAATTAAAATAAGCTGTTATAAAATTTTAAGTTTTTATATCTGATGTGTTCGTATATTAGATTTTTGTGATGGTTCAGTTTTTTAAAGTATGTTGTGAGAATTTTTAATTTACACAGAAAACTTGTTAAAAAAATTGAACTATCGTAAAAACTAAAAACCCAACAAACGAACATAGATAAATTATGCTCTTACCCTTAAATTCTATAAGAGGTCAATTCACTTTAATTTTTAAATTAACGGAGCTAAACATTATCTGCTGAGCGTAAATTTGCTATTTACGCATTTGTAATACGAAGATTACCTATCACATAATGCGGGTATGGCGTCCTCTTAATGCCACATTATGTTTTTTATGAGAATTTAAAAATCAAATGTTTAAGATTTTTGTAAGTTATATAATTTTGTACGAAAAATATCGATTTTATCAAACCTAACGATATTAGTAATTTTATTATTATTCAAAATATATAAATTATAWGGAGACTTGAAACTAATGAAACTACATTACGTGTACCTTACTAGCTATATTAATGACATTTTCAAAATATTTAGACAACATTCAAATTATTTATAGACATTACTGATCTTCGGTACGACGGTATTGCAGACAATATTATTATATGATAATTTACAATATAATATATCATTCCAATGTTTTCAACAAAAATTAATTTACACAGTA